GCTTCCAGCCTTCCCCTCCCACCGGAATCCTCCTCGGCCCTTCCTCCCTGGCTGCCTCTCCTCCTCCTCTTGCAGCTCCACTTATGTAAAGTCACTCTTGTCTTAGAAACACTCTCCTACCCCACCCCTTGGGCTCTGGAGCACCCACCTGTTCCCCGGGCCCCCTCGCTCCCTCCACTTCTTCACCTCCCCACCTGCCCCTGCCTGGCCGCTGCCCACCCCCACCCTCCCTGCTGCTGACACTCGCCTCCCTCCCCGCAGGCAGCCGGGTCTCTGCCCACTGCCTCCCAACCACACCTGCGTTCCCTCCTGTCTCTCCGCTACCCCCTCCATGCTGGTCCCCTGGCAGCCCCTCCAGGGCCCCACAGGCCGGCCCTCCTACGGTCCTACTAGCAGCCCCTTCCTCCCTACCTCCCACGCCAGCAAACACCAGGGGCTCCATTACCCAGAATCCCTTGTGTCCTGAAGTGAGCACTGACCCACCCGGACCAAAGGGGACGAGGGGAGCCCGTGTGAGACGCCTGGAACTGCAGCAGTGGCTGGTGACCTCGAGGGAGTGTGACACAGCAGGACACTGCCTCCAGCTTGTCTGGGACCTCAGCCCTCCCTCCCACCCCACAACCCGGCCTCCTGGGCCCACAGGAGACCTTCTGCTCCCTCCAGGCCCCCGCTGCAGCCAGCCTGGGCCCCTCCTCGTGCCCCCGGCATGCACGTGCACTTGGTGTGTGAGTGTGCCTTCCTGTCCCCGGAGAAAAGGGCCGCTTCCCGAAACTGCCGCCGCCTGCTTGGAAAGGGGAAATGGGGTCAGGGAGCTGCTGAGTGGAGGGGTGAGGCTCAGGGTGGGGCAGGAGAGGGAGAGACCCCAGACAGAACGAGATTCAGCCCAGACGTGTGCCACGTCCCAGCCCCATCCCACCTCAAGCCTCTGAGCCTTTGCACGTGCTGTTCCTTAGGGCAGGAACACCATCCTCCCACCTGCTCCTCACAGAGGTCCCTCGTGTTCTTCCCTTCCTCGCCAGATAGCCAGGACTGCAGACAGCAAGGCCCAGGGAGTGGGTCAGGGCCTCGCCGCCCCCTGGGCTCGTCACAGCACTGGAGGCAGCTGTTTCATGTCCTGTCCCCAGCACCCAGCACTCAGCTTGCCACCGGGTTTGCACTCACAGCCCCTGGCACCTACTTAGTGTGGAATATCGGCCGTCACCTGAAATGTGCCGTCTATTTGAAACCCCACCACCTGAGTCTCATGCTTGGGTGGACGCACTTAGAGACCCCACAAGCAGGCACAGCCGTGGCCAGACACCCGCGCTGTGCGCAGCGCACCTGTGAGGCTAGATGGTGTGTGTGTGTGTGTGTGTGTGTGTGTGTGTTCTTCACGTGTTTTGCTTTGGCAATCTCTTCCTCTACACGGGACAGAAGCAGGCACCATTACCTTCCCTTTGCACGCAAGAAACAAAGTCAAAGGGTAAAGCCACATGCCCCAGGCCACACAGGGAGAGTTGGGATTTGGACCCAAGTCCAGGGCTCCTCGGGCAGGACAGGGCTCCCCTGCATGGAACTCCTCTGTGGAGGATGCGCTGTGGCCCCGCCCTGCTCGCCCCTGCTGGAGGTTAAGGCTGGTCCCCATGAACACGTGGAGACTGTCCTGGGCTGCCCCAAGCACGGTGGACCTGGCTGTCACCCTCTCTGCCTTCGCTGCACATGCTCCCCGGCCCCGTTCCCCTGCAGCTCCTGTCCTCTCTTTTGTTGTTGATGTTGTCAAATAAAAAACCAAAAAAAAAAAAAGGGCAAAAAAAGGTAAAAACCCCCTAAATGCCGCAGCACAGAGACAGTGTCTGTCCCCACAGTGGTGAATGCGTGTGCCATGGCCCAGATCCAGCCCATTTTGAGGGCGTTAACCATGTTCTCCAACTGAGCATTTTACAATTTTGTTAAACTAAAGGACTGTTTTCACCACAACAAAAATTTATAAATCCAGGCGTCCTGTGCTGTCCCTTCCCATGGCAGTCAGCTAAGGCTGAGGACCAGCTGCCCACTCCTGTAAGACAAGCCTCTCCATTTCGCCACAGTCCCCACCATGCCCTGCGGTGTCCCCAGGTGGGCCCATGTCCCTCATTCACTTACGGGTCTGACCCCTGTGGGCATTCAGCTGGCAGCCCCCGCTCCGGGCATCCCCAACGGCTAGCAGCTAGCAGAGCCCGCGGCTCGCCACGCACTGCTCGGGCGAGCTTGACGTGGCTTAACTCATCTAATCCCCACACCAGTGAGGGGGGCAAGCACTCCAGTTATACCCATTGTGCAGATGAGGCTCAGGGAGGCTACGTCAATCGCCTAAGAGACGGGGCAGAGTGGCAGGGTCAGGACTTGAACCCAGGCAGTCTGGCTCCAGCGTCTGGGCCCCTGTCCCACTGTATGTGAACACACACACTCTCAGTTCTGTGTTCAAGAAAGTTTCCATGCTGATGGTCATGATGGAGACTCAGACTTTTGGGGGGAGGGGGGGAAATGGGCATTTATTGAAACCTTAAAATCTGTACCCCCATAATATGCCGAAATAAAAAAAAAAAATAGCCGGGCGCGGTGGCTCACGCCTGTAATCCTAGCACTCTGGGAGGCTGAGGCGGGCGGATTGCTCGAGGTCAGAAGTTCGAAACCAGCCTGAGCAAGAGCGAGACCCCGTCTCTACTATAAATAGAAAGAAATTAATTGGCCAACTAATATATATATAAAATTAGCTGGGCATGGTGGCACATCCCTGTAGTCCCTGCTACTCGGGAGGCTGAGGCAGCAGGATTGCTTGAGCCCAGGAGTTTGAGGTTGCTGTGAGCTAGGCTGACGCCACAGCACTCACTGTAGCCTGGGCAACAAGCGAGACTCTGTCTCAAAAATAAATAAATAAATAAAATAAAGAAAGAAAGTTTCCATGCTAATCAGTGTAATCTAGGATCATCGGCGTAATAGAAACAAGAGAAACTAAAAAGATAAAAACTCACCGAAAATAGCCAGCGTGGAGGCCTGCAGTTCTGCCCTGCCCACTTTTCTTGCTTCTAAGAAAATGCCTTCTCCCTGCGGCTCTGGTGGGGCCGTGCAGCCCCTCGCCTCCCTCTGGCCGTGGCTGGGCCATCTCAGTGTTTCTCCCCTGCTGTTGCCACGGTTGTTCCAGAGATGGGCACGTGGCCCAGGCCTGGCCAACCAAAGCGTTGCCCTGAGAATTTTCTTTTTGTCCGGCCCTCTCTCTGAAGGCAAAGGTGATGTGATACGAGCCTGGAGCTGGGAGAAAGAGAGAGGGGAGATGAGCAAGGACATCTAGTCTCTGGTGTCCGTGTCCCCAGGCCAACGCCCTTCCAGAGTCTCCAGGGACCCAGCCAGTGAGTTCCAGTTTAAGCCGGTGGTGTGGGTCACTTTTACTACAACGGAAGGCAGACGCTTGAATTCTACATCACCGTTATTCGCCTTAATGACCCTCACTGACCCCTCGCCGGGACGCAGCACGGAGACTCTTCCCAAATTCACTCGCTATCAGTGATGCTGGGAGGAGCCTCCCTGTTGGGGGCAATTCCTAGAAGTGACCTTGGACATCAGAGCTGCCCTGGGCCCCATCCCTGCCTGGGGACTGCCCAGTCACAGACCCTCGCCTGGGTCCCGCTGCCTCTGTCCCTCTGCCCCTGTGACTGCTTCCCAGCAAATCTTATGGCCACCCTGGAGGAGGAGTGACAGGGCTGGGGGAGCAGGCATATCTGGAGAGCCCCGTGCCTCAGGAGCCCCGCTCGCAGCTCGGTCTCACAGCCCACACCTCAGCTGTCCCAAGATGCAGCCGTGTCCCACCCTGCCAGCCCCCAGACTCTGTCACCAGCTCTGAGTCCTTGAGAAAAAAGAAGAGAAAATTATGAAGGGGAGGGGCTCGGAGGTGATTTATGCCCCCACACAGTGCAAAAAGTGGACAAAGTAGCCTGTTTTTGCTTAACCGCACCATCTCCCCTATGTTCCCTTCATTCATTCCTTCCTTCATTCCACACCCCCACACCCACTATGTCCCCAGGACTTTTCCAGTCACCAGGACACAAACGCGGCCTTGAGCTCCCAGGGCCTCCAGACTGACGGAGAAAGAGATGAACAGACCGGTACGTGCCGTGAGGTCACCGTGAATGGGCTTTTATCTTACAGCTATTTCTTTGCACCACACCTTTTTCCATAAAGGATTGAATCAATCTGCCAGAAAAGGCACGAGCAATAACATTTTAAATTTTAACCGAAGAAGAACGTGTTTACAGAGCACCTACTCTGTCCCAGGCATCTCCCACATGTCACCTCACTGTATTTTTTCAAACCCTGAGGTGGCCACTGTCTGTCCCCTCTCACAGGCCAGCAAAACGAGGCTCACCGCGGATAAGCGACTGGCCCACGTCCGCACAGTCCTGAGGGCAGAGCTGGCAGCCGCGCAGCTGAGCCCGGCCCCAGAGTCCTTACAGCATAATAGAACAGCAGTGGCTCAGCTTCACATTTGACAGTGAGTTTCCTAGCAGCCTCTGGGAAAAGAAAAACTGACTGTATTACCCAGCTGGTCACTAGACATGGAAAAAGCCCTTCTTTGAACGGAAGCAAAGCCCTTCTTAGCACTGAATTAATTTGCCTTTTCTCATGTGGGAGTTGCAAGTGAGCTTGTGGGGCGGAATATACAGGACTGTCCGAGCTGGGTGTTTCTTTGGTTTGTATGTGGGGAGACGGCTGAGTAAACGCCCATGGTCCCCTGGAGAAGGTTCATCAGTGTCCGTCCCTCGGTGTGTGCACATGCGTCCGCATGCATGCGCATGTATGTGCATGAGTGCGCATGCATGTGCATGAGTGCGCATGCATGTGCATGTATGTGTGTGCGTGTGCATGTGTGCATGTTTCTCTCTGTCTCACTGTCTTGCTCTTTTTATCGGCCCCTCCCTCTCCCAGCTGTCTCTTTCGTCTCTGTCCCTCCCTTGCTCACACCCCGATTGCTAAGGTCCCTGCCGCTCGAAACTCCGCCAGTTTTTAGGAAGTGCTGCTGTGTCAAGAGCCTGTGCATGAGACCCCAGCGGGCCAGGACTTACTTCCTCCCCACACAGGGCTGGGCGGGGCTAGCAGGAAGGGGCCTCTTACAGGCAAGGTGACGCACCCCTGCCTGGCCAGCCCGAGCAGCAGCTGGGTCTGCGGGACAACGGGAGCACAAGCCACCTCTCCCCTGAGGGCTTCAGATGGACCTGTGCCACCCAGGTAAGCACCTGGGGCCAACGTCTCTGGGCCTCGGTGTTCTCTCCTGTAGAATGGGGATAATGGTGCGGCCCTCGTAGAGTCCTGCAAGGAATAGGTGTACACATGGCTAGAACACAGGTGGGAAATGCAGCGCAAGCTACAGGCGTGTAGAGCTCAGGCTGGGTGTGCAGTTGTGTGCCAGAGCCGGTGCAGAGCAGCAAGCAAAGCAGGCACGCCCTCCCGGGCTGTGCTGTAGCAGGGAGACAGACGGGAACTGTAATGCCATGTCATATGTCTGTTGGTGGCAAGTAGGACGGAGAAAAGTGAAGCGGGATAAGGGAGGTGCAGGGCACCGCAAGGCTGCAAGACGAGATGCCCTTTGAGCAGAGACCTGAAGGAGGGGAGGGAGCGATCTATGGAGTTTCTGGGGAACGAACACTCCAGGCAGAAGGAACAGCCAGTGCAAAGGCTCAGAGGTGGCACTGAGAAAATGTATTTGTTGTGATAAAGATGACGATGTTGTGATGTTGGTGACAGTGATGCCTCTCTTGGCCCTTCAAGGGTCCTGAGGCCCCTGTCTGGCCTTTAGGGGTCGAAGGGGCCTTGGGGAGGCTGAGGACACCGTCAGAGCCAGCAGAGGGCCAGGAGTGAGCAGCAGGGGCCTGCCTGAGACCCTCCCAGTAACCAGGGCCACGAGTCTGGGGACAGAGAGGCGAGAGGAGGCTGCACAGTTGCTGAGGGACAGAACAGGACAGGTCGTGTTTTGGGGAGGCAGAGAGAAGGGTCAGAAGCGAGGCCAAATTGCTGCACTGGAGTTTCAGAAAGTTCCAGGATTGCCTGGAATTCTAGAACATAAGGCGTGGTAGGAACCGCCCCGCTTTCCAGATCCAGGTGACTGTGACTTTGTCCAGCAAAGTGCCCTTTCTTCAACAACACCCCATGCAGAGACCTGACCCTGCCCACCAGGCTCCCCTGACCCCCAGAGAGGGGAGGCCGTGGGCTCCAGGGAACACAGTTAGAGAACCACCTATCCATTTCAACAGCTGCCCACTTACAGATGGGAAAAGGAAACCAGGAGAGGGAAAATCTTCCCACAGGAGAGGCAGGACCACTCCCCATCTTCAGACTCCCTGTCCAGTGCTCTCTCCTTGCCCCTGCTTCTCCTGTGGGCTGTTGGGGGCAGGTGGCTCCCATACTGGACAGGCTCAGTGAACACATCTGGGGGGCGACTGAAGACTGAGACCCAGCAAGGGGTGGTGCCCGGCCCAGCAAGGGGTGGTGCCCGGCGCAAGGTTACCCCGCAGAAGAGAGGGTGCAACGAGGCAGAGGGAGCACCTGCTGAGGAGCAGCCCCTCCCCCGCCGTCTGTCTTTCCACCATCGTTGCTTTGTGCTCTGTGTCCTGACACACTGGGGTTGCAGGGGTGGCTGTCTCCGCGGTGCCAATAAGGAAACTGAGGCTCATAGAGGTGAACCGGAAGCCAGGACTGACTTGCTCAAGGCCACACAGCCAGGCAGTGGCCGAGCAGGGACAAGCAGCTGAGTGGAGAAGGAGCCCGGGTGGGCCTGGGCTGTGCTGGTGCAGGGGATTGGTCGGGGGTGTGGGTAGGGGTCTGTTTTTCTTGAGGCTGCCACGGGCAGAAAGGGATGCAATGGGGTCAGCACAAGCAGTTTGTTGGGAGAGTTGGGGTCTCCCATTGAGCGATACGTCTTCCCATTCATTCTGTAAACAGTCCTCCGGTGTGCTGTGCAATGCTGGGGACAGCAGTGACCCACCGTGGGCCTCAGCCTGCGGGGGGTGCTGGTCTGGGCTGTGGGGGTGAGGTAGAGAGAGGGGGAGACAGTGTGATGCTGAAAGTGGGGGGGGGAGACAGATCCTACAGAACCTGACCCAGATGTGCAAACGGACCTGGAGATGGGAGGAAGTGGCTTTTCCCGCCAGGGCAGGGAGATCTGGGAAGACTTCCTGGAGGAGGTGGAGGGGAGAGAGGGAGGGAAGGTCATTCCACTCTTATCCAGACTGGATCTAATCGGATCCTCTCCATGGCCAGGTGACTTCCCCTGTCTGAGTTCCGATTTGTCATCCTGGCCTGGCCTGGGGGACTGGGGGACACACAGGGATTTGGAGAGGTTCCAGCTCCAACCAACCTGCCGGCAGTTATGGTGACCCTCTTCCTTCTGAGGGCCTGGGATTCCCCACCTTGATTATGGACAGGACGGTGGTGAAGCTTCGTGGCGAAGGTTCGCCCAGGGCTGCCTCTCCTCCTCCTGCCTTGGTCACGTGTCCGGAAGCAGGTAAAGTCCCCTCCCCCAGGGTCTGCGGGAGGCGAGAGGTCTGGGTGACAAAGCCCCAATGTGACCAAAGACAGGCACTGGCCTGGTGCAGACGCAGTTAAAAATAGAGGCCGCTGGGAAGGGGGGAGGAAGCCACACGGCACCTGTAGGGCGTCTGGGACCAGGGCGGGAGCGCTCCACCCACACCCTGCTGTCCCTGCTGCCCTGGCGGGTGTCTCTCACACAGAGACTTCGAGGGGCCTCTTTTTCTGGGCCCCAAGATGGCGTCGCCCTGCTGCCCCTGAAAGGGGAAGTGAGGCCAGCTGCCCTGGAAGCGGGGCTGCAAGCGCAGAGATTTCTAAAAATACGACGGGAAAGAGGAAGGGCAAAGGGGAAGTGGGAGGAGCTGGGGAGAGGTCGGGGGCATCTCGCCCGCTGCGGCCAGGCCTCGGTGCCAGGGCGGCCACCGCCTGCGGGCACAGGGGCGTCGGGGTCCAGAGGGGCCTTGGTGGGGTGTGAGAGGCCCAGAGCTAAATGGGGAGTAAACAAGGGTCCCTGGGGTGGCGATTCTAGTTTTATTATTTTGTGTGTGTTACTATTATTACCAATGATCCACCTCCACCAGCCTCCACCGGTCCTGAAACTCCGTCATTACCGAGCTTAGACTCAGAAGTGGCCACTCCCAGCCTGTGTCCTTGTCACCTCCCTGAACCTCGGGGTCCTCGGCTCTGAAGTGGGGAGAAGCTATCTGGCATTTAACAAGCAGTCAGATGCAGGCCGGAAGGCGTGGGGCCCGCCACGTGCACCGTGCCGGCTACCGCAGGCCGGGGGCCAACGGCCTGGTTACGTAGGTTCAGAAGTGCTTGGCCAGGTGCCACCTGTTGGGGACCGGACGAACCCCAACAGAAGGGGACAGTGGGCTGAGAGGATTCACGATATCCTTGTCAACCTCGAGGGAGCATGAAAGCGGCTGTATGTGGTAAAAACACAAGCCCCCCTCGGCATTCCCACGCAGCCCCACTCCCCCAGGAAGCTGTGTTGCCGTGTGTTTCCAACCACACCCGTGCCTCAGTTTCCACCGCTCTACGATGTTGGCTTTCCAGGGGCGCAGAGGTGTCTGATTGTAGGCAACATCCTGCATCTTGTCTTCATTCTCAAACATGCAACCATGACAGAACATTCGGGTTTAGTGTCTACTGGGTTTGATGGTTTGTGTGGAGACATCTGGCTTTGGAAGGTCAACATCAGGGCTGTGGCTCAGAGCCCCAGCTGGGCCCAGGTGTGCATCCCAGCTCTGCCACCTTCCAGAGGTGTTGGGAGTGGGTGGGGACAGCCAGAGCACACGGGGCCTGGCATGCAGCAGGTGTGCGCCCAGCATGCCTTCCTTAACCAATGGCGCGGCTGATCCCAGCGATGCTGGGGGACTGGGAAGGAGGCGGTGGAGGGGACGGTGTCCACACGGGCCCAGGAGGGCAGCTGGGAGGAGAGCCAGAGGGTAAGCAGGAGGTGCGAGGCAAAGAGGAAAAGGAAGGGCATCCTGGGCACAGGGAACAGCCTGTGCAAAGGCCACTGGAGGGCAAGAGCTCAGGGGAGGGGAGGAAGGGAGGGCGGCCATGGAGGCCGAGCGGAGCTCAGTCCTGGGGGGGGGAGTAGGGCCGCAGTGTGAGGGGGGTGGCGCACGAGCAGGACCAGTGAGCCCAGTAAGATTGGGGGACTTGTCCCCAGACGATTGGATGATGTGGGAGGCTGGACTGGGGCAGGCGGAGGAGCCAGGGAGGCATCGCAGTCCCTGGAGCAAAGTGACAGTGGTCAGGATGAGGGTGGGGCCGTGGAAACGGAAGGAAAATAGACGGCACTTGGTCATGGAGGAGACCCATGAAGGGGTGAGAGACAGGTGGCTGTCAGGAGCCTCCTGGAGGGCGTGGGGGCATTTCCAGAGCTCAGGAACTCAGGAAGAGGGCCGCGTGGAGGGGAGACTCTTGGGAGTTCAATTCTGGGCACAATGACAAGAGCGGTGGTGGCAGTACATGGGGGGTTGTCGGATCTGAAGCTCACACGAGGGGCTGGAACTGGGGATGAGTGAGAGTCCTTGGCCCATGGAGGAGCCAGGAGCTGAGGAGACCCGGTGGGGGAGAGGGGCGTCGGCCTGGGGCTGAGCCATGGCCCACGCTGACCTGACCACGCACATGCGGGGCACCCACAGACTCGCGAGCCCATCCTGGCTCTCACCCCGGCAGCCTGTCTGCACCTGGCCTCCCGGCAGGTGTGCCTGGCCAGAACAGGCCCTCGGGACTCAGGCCCTAGCCAGCAGCAAAACCAAAAACCTGCTCATTCACCTCAAAGTCAACTAGAGGTGACTGGTTTTTCCATGGAGGACTCAGCCTCCCTCCCTGCTTCCGGCAGAGGAGTTCCGGCGGCTCCCCCCGCTGCCCTGCTTGTCTCCACGGGGATGGCCCCTCACGCCTCTGTCCCTGCACGTCCCAACAGCTTGAGAACCCTGTCCTGGGGCAGAGGCTGGAGTGTCAGCAAACCGGGGTTTGGATCCTAGCACTGCCGCTGGGATCCTGGGTGTGTGACCTGGGACAAGTCACCTGACCTTTCTGAGCCTCAGTGTCTTACCCTGGAATAGCCCACTTCAGAGAGGGATAAACAGCACCGTTCGTGCGGGGCTGGAGTAGGTGTCTGTGAGCTTCAAGTTCAGGAAGCCCTTGCTTCGTCCCTGGTGTGAGTGCCACCTGCCCCTCCCCCTGGAAACAGGACCTCCAGATTTGCAGGGCTCCAGTTGCAGGCGCAGAAAGAAGTTCCCAAGTGGGTGGCCGGGAGGAGCCACGCCCGCTCCCAGGCCCTGCTTCCTGGCCCTGTGCACTCCCTGCTGGAGAGCGTGGCCCGCGGCGCCCATTGATTTGGGGCGGATGGTGCCCCCGGGTAGATGGTGCCCCATCCAAGCAGGACGTTGCCAAAAGCTGACACCTCAGCTGCACCTTCCAAAGGCTCCCCGTCGCTCCCACGGGCTGGAGTCCTCCGGTGGGTGGTGAAATGGGAGAGACGGACGGTAGGTCCCACGGCCACCGCTCCCTTCACCGCACCTTTGCCGTAAAGAGGGTCCCTTGGTCTGCCGTGGCGCCGTGTGGTGTGCTGTGTTGGCGGGTCAGCCATTCTGGAAGCCGTGGCTGGTGTTGCTAGCTGAGGCTCTGTGGGCAGGAAAGGTAAACCACCCGCAGGTGTGTGGATTCCACTCGAGGTGAATGGCTGACGTTTGCAGCATAGAAGGGGCCACTGGGGTCACTTTGCCACCAAGTTGCTGGTTGGTCTTCTAGAGACACGACAGGCTCAGCGGCTGGCAGAGCGGACGCTGCACGGTGGCAGCAGGATGGGCTCCTCGGGGAGCAGCCCCCACACGGCCCCTCCGGGCTGCTCCGTCCACGCACCTGCTCTCACCGCCGTGGCCGCCACCAGGGGGCCGAGCCGCCTGCTGGCTCGCTGTTGCAGTGCCTCTCCTGTGCTGGGCGCTTGCTGAGGGACATTAACACGCTTTGCAAAAAGCTCCACACGTTGTGCCACTCCCACAGGGCCAGCCACGTGCTTCCTGTCCAGACCTCTAACCTAACCTGCTTCCTTCTGGCCTCTGCCTGAGAAGCCAGGCCAGTCCCTACTGCACGTGCACGTGAATGCACATGTGTAGTCTTACTGCTCTGCCCACCGGCAGTGGGTGCGCGGGGGCCCTGCCCACGGCTCTGCCCCGTGGGGCGACCTCCTCTCACCACTGTCCTCTGGGACCCCTTTGAGCAGGGCTGCAGTTCAACAGCTGCTTAGTTTTACTTGCGCTCAAACACCGAGCCAACCCATCCCGCAGCCAAGCTTGGGCACTTTCCTCTGTTGTCAGAGGGTCAAGAGGGGCCCACCCACGCAGACACCATGTGAGTTGAGGAACAGGCCCTGGTGCAATGGTGGTGGATGACATGAGGGCCTGGGCCACCTGTCCATGGAGCCTACTGGGGCCCTCGGCTCTGCTCATGCCTGCTCCTCGGTGAGCCACTTACAGTGGATTGCTGTTGGGCTTGCCCGACCTCGTGACTTGGGGGGTCAGACAGACCCATCTTGGCCGCTCAGTTTCTTGGTGTTGCACAGGCAGGTTCCGTCTCTACCAGGACCCAGGGGCATTCCAGAACTGTCTTCTACATCGTGCATAACTCTCTGCTGCAGAGGGCACGGCCTTGCTCCCAACCCCAGGGGCTGGCGTTGCCAGTCTCCTGCTGGGGCCCCCATGAATTACGCATGGGCACACCTCTAATTCCTCGTCTTTCTGTCGGGTGGCCTGGCCCACGCCCAGACAGGCTGCGGAGCCCTGCCCTGCCCCGGCCTACTCAAACCTGGCGGCCCTGTGTGTCGCTCCGGGAATGGGTTGGAACGGCACCCCAGGGGTGGAATATGCTGCCTCGGAACGCCAAGAGGCCTCCTGGGTGTTTGTGTTTCCTTCTAAGTGGTGGAAGACTCGACAGGGAAACGCTCGTCCTTCGCTTCGGAAGGGATGTCCCAGAGCAGATGGGACCACCTAGAGCTTGCGGGCGTGGCAAGCCTCAGAATCATCGTAAGATCCACCTCGCGCTCTCTGGGGCTCCTGTGTCTTACCAGGGCCACCTCTCTCATCTGGCTCGATTCACTTGCTGTCCCCCGTATGGGGACCAATGAGATGTTCGGGTCTCCAGGTGGTGCTATGACACAGGGCAGGAGAGTTAACAGGATCCTGGGCCAGCCTGTTGAAGGCTTCAGCCCGCATGCCGCGAGGGTGTGGGCGATTTCTGCGCGGCCCCCCTCAGAGACGCAGACAAGGGGGCACTCGGCCTTCTCTCCGGGCTCATGCGGGAGCTGACGTCTGTGCTTGCAGAACCTTTAAGCAATGTGCCCGGGTCCTTCCTAGAGCAGGGCAAGCAGGGCGCGGAGGGGCCAGACGGGCAGACAGGAGACGCCACCCCAGGGTGCAGGAATGCCTGGGCCAAGTGGGGAATGGGGCTGAGCACTGGACGTTTCAGGGGCGGCGAGGAGCGGGCAGGCGGGACTGGAAGGCGCTTGTTGACAGAGGCAGGGAATGCTGAGGCTGGCTGCAGAGGCTGGGGAGGTCGTGGAGGCCCTGGGGCCAGGGTGAGGACTTCTTCCCTGAGTAATAGGGAATCCATGGGGATTTTGACCAGTGTTGCGGATGGAACAAAAGCCACAATGTGGAGTGGAGGTGGCGCGGCTGACCCAGTATGGGAATCGTCATGGCACTGTGCTCAGAATGCCACCACACACATCCCAGTTCACCCATTTCCAGGCGAAGTTAAAAGAGCACAGGCTTTGTGGTCAGCCCAATCCAAGGTCCCGTCCCAGCTCAGTAACCTTGTCCTTGTGAGACCTTGATCGGGTCTCCTCCCCTGTCTGAGCCTCAGTATCTGGGGGCAGGGACTGTGAACTGTCCCCCCAAATCCAGCCTCTCCACCTTACATGGTAGGAACACCAGGACCCTGTCCTAAGGGTTCCTTTCCCAGCCTCCCTTGTAGCTAGGTGTAGCCGTGCGAGCACGTCCTGGCCAGTGGGGTGCGAGGCCAGTGGCATGCCACTTCCAGGCTGTGCAAGTGAATAAGTGCGTGAATGATAAGCACGCAGCCAGCGAAGGGGCCAAGTCTAGTCCCAGGGAAGAAGGCGCGGCTCCAGCAAGTCCTGGGTGTGCGGAGGGAAGAGCGCCCTCAGGAAGGCAGAGCCGGGTGTGGCTGAGCGAGTGGGGCAGGAGGAGGCCGGTCTTCTCTCCGCAGACCCGGTGGAGCTGAGCAGCGGGGAGGCGGAGGAGCTGCAGCGCATCAAGTGGCACCGGAAGCAGCTTCTGGAGGACATCCAGGTGAGTGCACAGGTGCACACCCGTGCTGATGCACGCCCACGAGCAGGCATGCACGCTCGCCTCCCCACCCGCTCCCGCCCCAGCCTGGTCAGAGAGCACGGCCAGGCCCCGGCCACACCCAGCCCCAGCCCAGCCCAGGAGCAGGAGAGCAGGAGACAACAGAATCCCGAGGACCCATCAGTGGGGGACAGAGGGCAGCCATCCAACAAAGCTCCTACCGTGTGCCAAGCCCCACCCGGGCCTTTACCAGCCTGGTCCCTCGGCAGGTGCTAACCTCAGCTGTGTGGCCTCAGCCAGGCCTCATCCCCTTAAATTGTGGACCTGTTGGTCAGGAGTTCAGCTGTCAGTTTCCTAGACGCCAGCTCATCTGGTTCTCAGCAACCCTCTGAGGCAGGTCTGGGATCTGCTCCTGGAACTGCCTTGCTCCATCCTGCCCCAGGGCCTTTGAACATGCAGTTCCCCCCAGCCTGGACTATCCCAGCCCCCTCGTGGCTCCTCTCATTATGTCATTGTCAGCTCTAATGCCACCTCCTCCTGGAGGCTGCCCTGACCACCTGGCTACAGGTGCTGTGCCCCCACTCCCCCACACACGAGAGTCCAGTGAGGGAGGAAGGCGCGAAATCATTTGCCAGCTGGTCGTTTGCTGGGCTCCGCTCAGCCATGTTCTGCACAGTCGTTCCCTTCGGCCCATGGCCTTTACGCACCCAGCACCGTCTGTGTGCCCACGAGAGCAGCGCCAGGTCTGCCTGCCCCCCGCCCCCACTGCAGCCCCAGCCCACTAGTGGAGCATAGCAGGTGCTCAGTTAGCACTTGCGAATGAACCCCCATTTTACTTGTGGGGAAGCCACTCCGTGACTCAGCCAAGGCGGCATGGACAGGAGTGGACGGGGCTCGGATGTAGGTGTCCTGGCCCCGAGCTGGCCCTGAGCCCTGAGCGGGGAGGGGCTGCGGTGCCTCTTGGGGGCTCTTGCAGGTGCTCAGGCCACTGCCCTGCAGAGGGGGCTGGACCAGCGGCCCCTCTCCCCCTCTGCCCCGTGGTGGTGGTCGCAGGGAGAGGAGTCAGGGGGTCTCCTCTGCCACCAGGCACTTCCTCCAGAGTCAAGATGAAACAGGTTTGGGGTGGAGTCCGACCCCGGCGTGTGGCGCCGCCTCTCTGTGCTTCAGTCCTCCTCTGTAACACCCACGGGAATGGTAGCGTCCCTGAGAAACGGGCCTGCCCTGCCTGTGCCCTGGTCTCCCCGTGGTACCTGGCGCGTTTCGGCACCTAGGAGTAGGTGGAGGGCGGCCAGAGACAGCGGGGGGCCTGCCGGTGGAACCGGGGGCGGCAGGGAGCCGTGCAAGGCTGGGGCAGGCTCCACGCTGTGCCCCAGAGAGACCCAGCAGGTGGGGGCAGGAGTGTCCAGTGGCCTTGGCTAGAGAGCAGAGGACTTCCTGCTGCAGAGAGGAGAGGCTGGAAGACTGGGAAGGAGTAGGGGCCTCGGACGCCCGCCCCCCAAGACAAGTGCCGGTGGAGGGTCAGGCGCAGACAGACCCAATGGTTTGGGTGAGACTCGAGGGTAGGAGACACCTGGGCAGGGGATCTGCCAGGTGGAGGGTCCCTCAGACTGGGGGCCCAGGACAGGGGTCAGGGAGGGCGCCAGGTGAGGAGTCTCGCCCAGGGGTGCGAGTGGTCGCTGTGGGAGGGTCATTAACCCCTCGGGTCCTGGCCTCTGACCCTGCCGCTCCCGATCGCGCCCTGTGCCCTCTGCCCACCCACAGAAGCTGAAGGATGAGATCGCGGATGTGTTTGCCCAAATCGACTGCTTCGAGAGCGCGGAGGAGAGGTGAGGGCCTGGGGGCTCAGGGAAGCTGCCGGGGTTGCTTCCCGACCACGTCACATGCCATGAATGAGCGGGCGTGCTTGGCCCCCAGGTCTGGTGAAATTGGGGGTGGGCGCAGGAGGAGGAGGGGCAGCAAGACAGGAGCAGGGCGTCCCCGTCCCATGCCCGGTCACAGCTGGCCCTTGCTTCCAGACTGATCCCTCTTGAGAGATACCCGTCCTCCATCCCCTCCACCCAAAGTCCCGCCCTGGCCCCCGGCCAGCCCCTGGTTCATCACTGGCCACAGCGTCCTGGGATGAGGGTGGGGACGGGAAGCTCGGCCCGAAGGACAAGGATGAGGGAGCCCAGGCCGCGTATGGCAGGAGCAGGCCAGGGCGGGACCCCTCCCTCCCTGCTCACCACTCACAGGGCGGCACCCACCTGCTCCTGCTAGGGGGGGTTCCCGCTGGTTCCATGACCTGGGGCTGGCCCCGTCCCTCTCTGGGCTCAGTTTCCCCATTTGTGCAATGAGGAGGCTGCTTCCTACACAATCCCCTAGGGCCCCAGAGCACTGACTCCTACATCTGGGGGTCCCCACTCTGCCCCTGCCCCCCTTGATCTCCACCTCCCAGCCCCTCCCTGCCCCACTCACACGTGCGCACCCCAGGCCCCTGTCTCCAGCCTCCCTGTTCCAGCCACGCTGGTAACCATGTCGCCATAGCCTGTGCTCTGCCCCAGCCTCCCGTCTTCTTGCACCGGCCCCTCCAAGTTCCCCCCACAGCAACTCTGGGCTCCTCTCCTGGGAGCTGCAAAGTGCTCCTGCCGGGCCCATCGGAGGAGTCGGGGAGGAGCCCAGAGCCGAGTTTCTCTCGCCCTCCCAGGGGCTCCCACGGAGGGCCCAGGCCCCCGCACCCCGCTGTGAGGCCTCTGAGAATAAGGGCTCCCGCTGGGGAGAGGGCCCTGGGGATGGGGGTGCCTGGGGCCGGGGCAGGCCAGGCTGACATCCTCGTGTCCACAGCCGCATGGCCCAGAAGGAGAAGGAGCTGTGCATCGGGCGCAAGAAGTTCAACATGGACCCCGCCAAGGTGGGCGGTCTCGGGGGCCTGGGCCGTGGGGGAGGGGGAAGCTGCATGCCGGACACCTCTGCAACGTCCTCACTCCCCTGGGCTGGCACAGCAACCCGCAGAGGAGCACACTGCGGCCCAGCAGGGCTGAGCACCTTGTCCCATGGCCAGTTGTGGCCGTGGCTGTGTCCACGCCACAGCATAGCAGCCTGGCACAAGGTGGCAGCCAGGAGGACAGGGCAGTCTGCGGTGCCCACGCACCTGAGCCGGTCCGTCCCCGCTCTGGGCCTCTGCTTTCTCCTCTGTGAGTAGGGCTTCGGGCAGTGCGGCCCTTAGATCTGGGGCTCGTCTCCAGAGGTGTCTCCCAGCCGTGGGCTGGAGGAGCCCACCTCAGTGCCACCCACACCCCCTCTGCTGGCACCGAGCACGGGCTCAGGGCTGGGTGGCCCTGCTCCCCACCCCCACCCCCATGGCCTCAGAGAAACCCCAGCCCCCAGCCCTCGCCCTGCCGGGTGGCAGGTGGGCTCCCTTTCCTGCAGGGAAGGAGACGGAGACGGGAGGAAGCTGCATGCCAGGGCGGGGCAGGGCAGCCGGTGGGGAGCGCCGGGCTGGGGCTCTGGGGCCTGACTGCTGGGGTCAGGGGCCATCCTTTCCCGTCACAGGCCCAGAGTCACAGCCGGTCACCTCCCAGGGCCACAGACCCCACCTCCATCCACGCAGACCCACGCACACTCTCGCAGCGGCTCACACTCCCAGCCCAGCCCGTGGGGGCCGCTGAGGGGTCCCCCTGCCCTCTGCCTGTCACTCAAGCCCCCCACAGTCTGCACCCACCTCCAGTGGTGGGACAGGAGGAACCATTCCAGAAAACCAGGGATCAACCCCTCACACCCCTAAAATTGGGGTGATGGCCTGTGAGTGCCTGGCTGGTGAGGGGGATGTTTGCGAAATTGCCAACTCCGAAAAGCAGGTTCCAAAGTGGTTCTCGTGTGGCAAGGGAAGGAAGGGGGCCACAATGGAGAGTGTCTACCTGCGAGGGCAGGACCGGGGCAATTTCCTCCCCTTCTGATTAGCTATTTTTTCTATCTTTTATACAATAGACATAGATTACTTGTGTGAAAGAATGAAACACTATTTTTAAATAATATGAGTTTTAGGGGAACAAAAGGAATGGCTGAATCATTGAATCCTAGAATTATGAATTCATAGAATCGTTGAAGCATATAATCAAAGAATGTCAGACTGAATGGGGACCCTGGGGAGCACCTGGCTCATTGCAGGAAGCCCAGCTTTCTTTGCACGCCTCCAGTGATGGAGAGCTCAGCACTTCACAGAGGCAGCTTCTATTAAGGAGGGGACACAACTTCCCAGAACAAGTTGTGCCAACGCCAGAATGCCGGCCCCGGGGCTCTGGCCGCAGGGGCTCCCTCCCAGCCTCCCTCCCCCAAGGCCTGCTCTGTGCGGGGGTGGAGGGACTGCTCACGACTCTGTGTCCCCCTCCAGGGCATCCAGTATCTCACCGAGCACAAGCTGCTGACCCCCGACGTCCAGGACATCGCCCGGTTCCTGTACAAGGGCGAGGGCCTCAACAAGACAGCCATTGGCACCTACCTGGGGGAGAGGTAAGGGGGCGGGCCTTAGGGAGGCGGGCAATGAGGGTGTGCAGGCGTGAGACTGTGCAGGCCCTTGCACCCCTTCACGCCCGCCAGCATGGAGCGGGCCTCCAGGGGACCTCTGGCTTTGGGAGGGCTCTGGGTTGGGGAGTGGTCTGAGACCACCCTCTGGCTGGTGGCTGAGGTGGGCTGTAGGAAAAAAGGGTGGAGCAGGCCAGGAGCCAGTGATCCTTCTCCCAGGCCCCCCAGAGGACACGATTTCCTCCCTAGGCGAGCAGGGAACGCAGGTGGCGAGAGGGGCAGCCCCTCCCCATTCAAGAGCTGGGAAGAGGCAGGAAATGGGGGAGGCCTGGTTCTCCCCATTGTACAGATGAGAAACTGGGGCTTCGGGAGGTCAAGTGGCTTGAGCAGGGTCACCCAGGTAGGAAGTAACGAGGAAGGACTTGGCTCAGGGCAGGCCGCTTCAAAGCCAGAGGTCCCCTGGCGGCCCGCTCCGTGCTGGCGGGCGTGAAGGGGTGCGAGGGCCTGCCCGCGTGGGAGCACACGGGTGAGCCCTCGGGTGTGCTATGGGTGGGGCAGTCGTGAAGAGACCAGACGGTGGCTGGACCACGGAAGGACAGACGTCTCTCATCTCCTCTCCCTCCCCCACCTCAACCCCCTCCAGGAGGAGGGTGCCAGCAAGTGCCCTAGTGTGTCCCGCCCTCCCTTCTGTCCCCTCCCCAGGGACCCCGTCAACCTGCAGGTCCTCCAGGCCTTCGTGGACTGCCACGAGTTCGCCAACCTCAACCTGGTCCAGGCCCTCAGGTGAGCAGTCAGGAGCAGGGACCCGGCCCTTGGGGTGGCACAGCAGGGGGGCTGGGAGCAAAGAGGAGGAAGTGAGCAGCAAAAATGCATTGGTGGCAGCCCCTGCATCCCAGGGCCAAGGACTGTCTGGAACAGGGCCTGGCCCACTGCTCCCGCTACTAGTATTATTATATGGTTATGATGATATTTAATCGTTATAATCATCATTACTTTTTACCGTCATTCTACTACTTTTTAGATTAGTGCTTGCGTTATTTATCTCATTAATGCAGCTTAGTATGTATAGCATTTATTATTACTTATTTTCCAATTAGGATACTGCTGTTGTATTCTTATTTTTATAACTACAGAGGCAGTACAGTGTTTCAGTTAAGAGCACAAACTCTGGAGCCAGACTACACCATTCAAATCCCAGCTCTACCACTCACCCTCCAAGTGACCTGGAACAGGTCACAATAATATTGCTTTGTGCCTCAGTTTCCTCATCTGTAAAATGGGGATAATAATTCCAACTTAATAGTGTTGTGAGGACTGAATGAGAAAGAGTTTAGAACTGATTCATAGTAAATGCTTAGTAAGTCTTGCTGCTACTTAGTAATGCCTGGACCCTCACTCAGCTCCCAAGAAGGGGCATCTGATGTGGGCTTTGGAGGGTGAGTAGGAGTTTGCAAGACAGAGAAGGAAGAAGCCACCACTATCCAAGTAGTGTGGCCTGCCCTCCAACTCCCATCCTCTTTTAGGGAGAGAGGTAGGTGACATTGGAGTCTCTCATGTTCATTCATTCATTCACTCAATCACTTATTCAGCGGTGAGTGAGTGACTACTGAGCAGTTCCCAGGCGTCCGGGCCTATGCGAGGCCCAGGAAGAGATGCGAGAGGAACAGGCACAGCCCTCGCCCTCGGGGAACTTAGTGTGACGCTGTGGAAATCACCAACTTCCAGAGCTGGAGAGAAGCTTAGGTTCCAAGAAGGAGAGGCCAGGCCAGGGACAGGCACCTGCCAGGGCCCGGGGCCAGGCCAGGCAGCTGCGAACCCAAGGCGGGAGGCCTCCTATGGGCCGCAGTCGGTGCTGGGATTCAGACGGGCAGACGGGAGCGCACGCTTGGCCCCGTATTCCGAGAGAAGGCATTTCCTGGACGCCTTCTGGGTGCTTGGTACGCACACGTGCAAATCCCACGTGCCCTTCCCCGTCACCCTAGATGACAGGTGCAGGTGCTCCCACTTACAGGTTAAGGAGACTGGGCCTGGGCCAGGCAGAGCAGCTTGTCTGGGGACCCACCAAGAGCCCCGTCCTCCCCTGCCCATGGCCTGTTGCTCCCCCAGGCAGTTCCTGTGGAGCTTCCGGCTGCCCGGGGAGGCGCAGAAGATTGACCGGATGATGGAGACCTTCGCCACGCGATACTGCCTCTGCAACCCGGGCGTCTTCCAGTCCACAGGTGCTGGGAGCGGGGTGGGACCCAGGGCTCTGGGACCCTTCAGCACTGCCAGGCACAGATCTCACAGACCCTCTCAGGCTCCCCCCAAGCACCCAGATGCTGGGATCCCCGACCCCCTCACTGAGCCCCAACTCCATGTTGGGCCCTCTGCTGGGTGCTTGTCTGGCAGGGCTGCCTCAGGACATGGCCCTTGGGAGAGGAGGAAATGATGGCACAGGGTGCTGAGGCAGCAGAACCCCTGTTGAGGGCAAAGGTAGAGGAATCAGCAGGTCTGGAATGACTTCTTGGAGGAAGTGGGGTCTGAATAGGGTTTTGAAGGATGAATAGGAGTTCTCCAGGAGGTTAAGGGGGAAAAGGGACTTACTGGCAGGAGTTGCAGTTTGAACAAAGCCCCAGAAGCATGAATGAGCCAGGGCATGGTATAGGGTGCAGAGGTGCATAGAAGGAGATCAACGAAGGTCAGTCCTGCATACCCCTCTCTCCCGGGGATAACCAAATATCCAAGCAGAGATACCCAGAGGATGGGGTGGGTGAGGACAACCAACTTGTCCTGGCCTCTTCTCTGGATCTAGAGTTATTGTAACAGCCAATGATGACAGTTCTGTTCATTAAGCAGTCGCTGTGTGCTAAGCGCTTCACAGGTGCAAAGTCACTGAGCCCGTAGGTCCGCTCTGTGAGGTCAGGGGTGGTCTCCTCCCTTCTTGGAGCATAGAATTACAGCCTCAGAGAGATGAGGTGACTTGTCCCTGGCCACGCCACCTCTCGGCTGTGCCCACAGACAAACCCTATAGATAGAGCGTTTGCCCTAGTTTGCAGTTACATGTTAATTTAGTGTTTGCTCGTGTGGCCCCTGTCAGCTCCACAGCCCAAATGCCCCACAAGGGCAGGGACCCTATCAGACCCATCACCAGTGGCTCCCAGGCCCACAGCATGGAGTAGTTGCTCAATAAATACCTGTAGATAGCAGGGAAGGCATTTGTAAAGCACCAGATTGGAATTATGGTCCAATTACTTCTTAATTTTGTGACCTTGGGCATTTAACTTAACCTCCCGGGGCCTCGGTTTCCTGGTCCGTACGATGGGAGTGGCGGCAGTACCTGCTTCCAGGAGGGCCGTGGGGTAAGGAGCTCGGCTCGGGCGGGCACCGCCAGTCGCGGGCCACTGCTATCAGAGGCGGAATCGTCGGTGCTCCGGAACAGGGAGCTACTTCCACGATGAACCTCTGAATGCCATGAGGGGGAGCGGAAGGTCAGGGAGGTGGGGCGCTTCCTGGCTCTGGGTGCAGGAGCAGCCACCTCACCCCAACCCTCAGCCGCCTGGCTCCCCAGCACGGGGCCGTCTGAATAATGGAACAGGAGCACCAGCTCAGGGCGCCCCGCCCCATGCCAGCACGGTGACAAAGCGGCACGTGGCTAATCCCTGAACGGTGCTGCCAGCAATGAGTGTTCTCGAGTTCCGAGGAGGCAGGGAACAGAGTGGGCAGGGCCGGAAGGGCTCTGCGGGAGGCGGCCCGGAGCTGGGCCGAGGGAGAGGGGATTGAAGTGGGCAGAGGAGGGGAGGCGGCAGCCGCAGGGACCCAGTGGGAGGGAGAGTGGGGGATGGGAAGGCAGGGAGGGGCTCGGGAATGGGACCACTGGGGCTTGTTTGGAGCAGGGGTCCAGCAAGAGTGGGGGGTGAGGCCAGGCCTCGAATTCCACGCCAGGGGACAGAGTTGACCTTGAGGGCCTTGCAGGGCAGATTCTTGGCCCCTAGAAGGGGTCGGAGCAGAGGCGGGGAGAGTGGCCAGGGCCAGGACTGTGATCCGCCGCCCCTCCACAGACACCTGCTACGTGCTGTCCTTCTCCATCATCATGCTCAACACCAGCCTCCACAACCCCAACGTGCGGGACCGGCCGCCTTTCGAGCGCTTCGTGTCCATGAACCGCGGCATCAACAACGGCAGCGACCTGCCTGAGGAGCAGCTGCGGGTAAGAGGGGCGCAGCCCGCCCGGCCCAGTCCCGGTGTCCCCAGGTGCATGGCCCGAGAGGGGGTCCTCTGAGACAGGCCACTCCAAGAGAGGGCTCTGCCGGGAAGGGCCACCGAGGTGGGCGGCTGTCTTGAGAAGGACCATCACAAAGAGGTTGGTCCTGAAACAGGCCTCCCAGGAGCGGCCCCTACCTGGCAAAAGGGGTTTGGAGACAGCCCACCCCGGAGGCCCTCCCAGATTTAAGCCTTTGGGAGACTCTGGGCACCATCATTCACACCTTCCAAAACGGGCACCTCATGCAACCCAGGTCTATTTCTTAGGATCCCAGATCCTTAGACTCTCAGCATGTCAGGGCTGAAAATCCTGAGCCTGCTCAAACGCCGCACTCCTTTAGAGAGGAGGAAACCAGGGCCTTCCACAGCCCCGCGTTAGCTCGGGAGCCAGGCAGGACCCCAGCCTCCTGTCTCCTTGCCCCGTCCCCCCACCCACTGTGCCAGGCCCTGACCAAGTTCAGGGTCTGGTGGGAAGCCATACATCAATGCATGCGAATTACACCCCAGCGTGACCGTGCCATGCGGGCTATGGGAGCATAGCTGGGGGGACACAGAAGACACCACCGTTGTCCCAGTGGCAGGGGAAGGGTGGCATCCTGGAAGACTCCACAGAGGAGGTGATTTCTGAGCTGGGCCTTGAAGGTTGCACAGGAGTATCCCCAGAGGAGAACAGGGAAAGGACATTCTAGAAAGAAGAAACAGTCAGAACCCAGGCCTGGCCTGGCCGGGAGGGCAGGGGCACCCAGTGTGGCTGGCGAGGTGTGGATGTGTGCGGACAGTGATGGGTGGCAAGGCAGGGCCAGGGTGTCTAAGGACAGTTTAACTATTTTCTACTGACAGGACTGAGCCCGGAGCAATCTATGGTCACAGGAGGGAGAGACTCAGAGCCTCCTTAGCAAAAATGAACGGACAGTTCATTTCAAGGACCAGAGACATCTGAGAGCTCAAGAGAGCTTCAGTCCCCTCCATAGTTGGAGCCCAGCAGGGAGGCGAGGAGGGGCATGAACACCACCCTCCCAGCTCAGTGCCGTCTGTATACTTCCTGCCTCAAAAACAGGGCTGGAGCCTGGGTCTGGAATGATGCTGGTTCCCCTAAGTCTGAGAACTGCCTCGCCCTTAGCCCACGGCCCACACTGGCCCCCAGAGAGGAAGTTTGCCACGAAGGGGCCACCACGTAGAATGAGGACCTGAGAACTGGTTGGAGCTCAGGTCAAGTCCCAGCTCGGCCATTTACATGCGGGGTGACCTTGGGCAATGACTCACTGGGGTCTGAGCCACTGTTCCCTCCACCAGGAGAACAGAGATAATAATGCCTGTGTCAGAGAACGGCAGTGGGTAGTAATTTTTTTAAATGCAAAGGGCAAAGCCTGTGCCAGGTACATCACACAGGCTCTAATGTGGCTAATGTCACCATTAAGAACAATTAATAATGAAAAAAGCCCAGCACTTAGTAAGATGCCCGAAACATAAGAGACCTTTGAGAATCGCTAACGCACCCCATTCGGGGTCATCTCGGAGCCATGCTGGGCGCACCTGGTCTGGCAGACAATGGGTTAATTCCTCCCCAGCATGGTCCTGTGGGATCTCGGGCCACTCCTGCCTTCAGCCCAGTGGGCCTTCTGCAGAGCCGCCTTGGGTACTTTCCCAATCCAAGCCTTTTGTTAATAACAGCGCACTACATCTGTACAGAACTGTGGCTTCTATTATCCCAATTTAGCTTCAAAACCTGCCTGGGAGGTCTGGGAAGGGCCTATTATCCTCTTCGGTGCCCGGAGAGCCGGGCTGGAGGGGAAAGAACAGCACACCGGCCCATCAGAACCACATCCAGGCCTGGCCGCCCCCTTTCTGCCTGTGGGACGTTAGGAAGTGGCTTGACCTCTCTGGCTCCCGGTAGAAAGGGAAGGTGTTTAGCAAAGTGCCCGGTGCAGGTGGCACGGCTGACTGATCCTGAAGCTTCCTAGGGCGTAGAGAGAACCACACAGGCCTGCTCCGTGCCATCCACGACATTCACAGGTGGCCGCGTGGATTTGGGGGTCTTCCCGCTTTCTCTGGCCCTCACTGTCCCCATAGGTAAAGCAAGGGCTCAGCCTGAAGCACCGTCAGATAGTCCACGTTCACCACTCTGCACAAGGATTCTCCACGCAGTGACTCCAGCTTGGGCCAGCCCATGAGAAGGACACATAATGCTTTTACGTGGCCTAAATTGCAAAATTAAATTTACACAGATATCTTACATAAAGAGAGGCCGTCCCAAGGGCACAAGGACCACGGCGGTGTGAGCTGGTAAAGGCTGTGGAGGGGTGCTTGGTGGCAGCGGGGGACAGGCGGGTTAAGCAGGTCTTGTCCTGGCCGTCCACATGGGGCCGGAGCACAGCACCCCAGAGGCTCGGGCAAAGGTGCAGGGGCTGGACTCTCAGGATGGGAGACCCTAGCCCAGCTCTGCCTTTATGGCTTCTCGACCTCGGGTGTGAGCCTCAGTTTCCTCATCCGAGAAGTGGGCTGCTCACGCTGACCTCACCCTGTTTTCCGGAGAAGCAGTGGAGCACCTGGCACTCGGGAGGCATCTGAGAAAAGCTAGGAGAGGAATCGCCCCCCCTGAGAGCTGCTGGGAGAGGGAGCCGGGGGAAGAGGGGAAGGAGGCGAGGGGGCTAAGAACTCCACCCTCTGGAGTTACAGGTGGGGAAACTGAGGACTGGTCAGGAGAACATTCTCCCATTTCTGGGCATCTTCTGCCATGGGCAGCCCTGGACCTCGTGGGTCCTCGTCCAAGCCTCTCGGTCAGAATGGCCCGTGTGCTGGGCACAGTCCGAAGTACCTTGTGTTCTCATTAAGGAGTGCTCCAAGAGAAGTAAGTAGCTGGCCGGGTCTCCTAGTTTGTGAGGGGTCCTGAGCCCTTCCCTCTGCAGAGACCAGAGGCAAGATTTGGGGATGGAGGGCTTGGCTGCATTTTCCAGCTGCCAGTTACTCCCTGGCTGGGGGAATCTCAACTCAGGTCACTGAAAAGATCAGAGTTCCATTTGCTTGTAGCCATATTGGCTTCAGGCTCGGCTAGATCCAGGTGCCCACGGACATCAGGGCTCAATCCGGTCATTCTCTCGCTCAGTGACCCCCTCCTCCTCGTTGGTTTCCCTCTTCAGCGTGGCAGAGATGGCCCAGGCTTCCGGTCTGCTTAGCGGTCCTCCTTCTCGGCAGTCTAAACTAAAGTCCCGAGGTTAAGGCTCATTGGCAGACTTGGGCTACATGTCCCTCCCTGAACTGTGGTGAGCAGGAAGAAATGAGTGAGTCATTCACCCCCTCGTGGGCCTGGAGGTGGGGAATGGTGAGTGGCTACCCCCTCCCACCCACCTCCAGCAATCTAGACAGAAAGCAGAGGGGCGGTGACCCCCGGAGGAGAGCTGGGGAGATGGGGGACAGAGACAAGGCCAGCAGGGCCGCTGGAAGGGGCCCTTGTAATTCTGCACGTCCACCCAGCCAGGAGACAGCCGAGCGTTTTCTTACAGGGCAGGCTGGTGTTTACAAGGCACAGGAAACGTGGGCGAGCCGAGCCGTTTTCTTGTGGGGGCGGAGTGTGCAGGCTGATACGGCGACCACAGAAGCTGCCGGGTCCTCCTGTGGGTTTTGTGGGGGCTGAGGCCCCCCTGTCTAACCCCCCCAACACACACCTCCCTGGCTGGGCCTTCCAAACGTTCGTCTGTGCCGACAGCTTCGCTGCTGGGTCTTCCGGCCCCAGGCCCTCGTTCGGCCAGCCAGAGCCACCTGGGAGTGCCCAGGGCGAGGCTGGGCCCGGCTGGGAGCAGGTGTGGGAGTTCCCAAAAGAGAACTGGTCACCGTCTTCCCCACCTCCACGCCACCACCGCCAGGCTGAGCTCAGGGAAACCCGCTTCCGGCCTGTCCCTCACTGCAGGCCCCTGAGCGCACTATCTGGTCAGAGACAGGGACTTACGGAAGCAGCAAGCACCATTTCTGACACTCCAGGAGAATCGAACAGTACTTGTGACAATTGCATTTAAAATCTTAAAGAAACCATCAGAACAGCACCACACACAAATGCAACAAAAGGAAATGATTTCATTATCTCAAACAACATTGTGTCTGGCTCTACTAAGCAGACAGTTTGGAATGTTTTTCCAAACACTTGGAAATCTGGGCAGGTTGTTCATGGAACGCAATGCCTCCTGGTGGGTGATTCAAAGCACACAGGGGTGATGCGGCTCCAGCATCCCCACCTTGCCCACAGGGAGGTCCCATCCCTGGCTTGCATGCCTCCAGTGACAAAGAGCTCATTACCCTACAAGGCTGCTGCTTCCACATTTCACCAGCTCGTACTGCCAGAAAGGCTTCCATGGCGAACTAAAGTCTGCTTTCTGGGAACTCCCCACACCCCACCCCTGCCCACCCAGAGGAGAGGGGCCCTTGAGAGCCACTCAGCACCCCACCTTGGGGCTCTCCTTCAAGCGGGCCTCTCAACTCGGATCAGCCAACCCCTCCCCCCGCTAGCTCCTTGGGGCCCCTCAACCCAGGTGTATCTGGGAGTCTCTGCTGCCCAGCTTGGCAGAAACAAGGGGCCTCCTCCCGTGGCCTTTGCCCAAGGAGGTGCTCACTCTGGCCGCTGTGCGTGTGCGTGTGCATGTGTGCACGTGTGCGTGTGTGAACACACGTGCCTGAGGTGCCGGCCCTGCTCACTCTGCTCCCCCTCCCCCCTGCGCAGGGGGAGGCACGATATTGGGTGGCCAGGCCAGGCGCAGGCAGAGGGGAAGCACCGATGGGGACCAGGGAAGGCTCCGAAGGAAGGGCCCAGGGGCCACGAGAAGCTAACTGGTGACCAGTGAAGAAAGAGTTTGCCCAGAGGGGCGTGACCTCTCCAGGCCACACGGGCCAGGCCCAGGCCCTGGACTCAGGTGACTCACAGCCAGGTCCTCCCCCTTCTCTCGGGACAGAACCTCTTCGACAGCATCAAGAGCGAGCCCTTCTCCATCCCCGAGGACGACGGCAACGACCTCACTCACACCTTCTTCAACCCGGACCGGGAGGGCTGGCTGCTCAAGCTGGGTGAGAGGCCGCCGGGCACACGCCCTGACATACACACACGCATGCGCGGGCACACACTGGCACGCGCACAGCTGCTCACGGGCAGCCTCGGGGGTGGAGCCCCGGCCCCAGGTCTGCTGACCCCCGGGCAGCAGTCTGCCCGCCCCATCCAGCCAGGGGAGGGGGGGGCTGAGCTATGTGGGGGGCACAAGAGGCACACGGAGCCACCGACAAGCCCCCCAACTGCAGTTCTGCTTCTCTCCCCGAGGGTGGGGACAGGAGTCTTAGAGGGAAGTACCGTTTGTTCAGGACCTACTAAGTGTAGGCAGGGTGCTGGTCGCCAGGACAGCCGGGCTGTGGGCAGCCTTTCCAAGGCTCCGTGAAGCCAGGCCACCTGCCCAAGGCCATACAGCCAGCAATTGGCAGCTTTGTGGGGACAGAGGGTGGGGTGTCCCTGAGGGAGGGAGAAGGAGGGCAGCAGGATGTGGCTCAGGGGAGCCTCGCCTCAAGCTAGCTAGGGGCAGGGGGGCAGGGAGGGCCTCCACCCTGCAGAGAGCAGGGGGGGTGGGGCGGCGGCAGAGTCCAGCAGGGGAACCCCGGCACCTGGCCATCTGCCCCTGCCTCCTCCACACACACTTCCGGAAGCTTCCCCAGCAGGGACAGCCCAGCCAGGGACAGACAGTGCCTCCAAGGCAGGCGAGGAAAGATGCCCCACGTTGAAGCAGGGGCTCGGCCTGGGCAGGCCCCCGCTGTGCAGAGCTCCGGCACCTACTGTGCGCCAAGTGTCGTGCCAGTCCTGCCCCTGCCCCCAAACGCCCCCAGCCTCGGCGTCCCTCCTCACCCACTCCCCGGCCTAGCTCTGCAGACCACTCGGCCTCCTGTCCTGCCCACCCGCCTGCTCTCAGCCCCGGCGAGCTCTGAGTCACACATCCTGACTCAGGCAGGAGAGAGGCTCTATGCCTGCAGCCCTGGTTCAAACCCCAGCTCCTCCACCCGGATGCTGGTGGCCAGGTGCCTCGGCCCGTTTCTGCAGCTATGGGATGGGGACAGTGATCCCCTTGAGGGCTAAATGTGTAGCAAAATGGCCAACAATGGGGCTCTGGAACAAGGACACTAGTGTCCAAATCCCAGCACTGCTGCAGGACATCAGGCAGACAACTTAACCTGCCTGGGCTCAGTCTCCTCATCTGTAAGATGGGGTGACCACAGTCCCCTCCTCGCAGGTGGTTATGAAGATGAATAAGTAACCAGTATTGAAAACCTCTAGAATAGAGCCTGGCACATCAAAGATGAAATGCTTAGCACCGTGCCAGGCAGGGAGCAGGCGAAGGGATGAACCCAGGGAAAGGAAAGAGCAGGGAACGGCCAGCCACTGCGCCCAGGACCTGACCAGGGAGGAGCCCCGAATGCCGGCTCCAGCAGCCCCGGGCGGCCTGGAGGCGGCAAGAGCAGCTAAGGCTTTTGTGTGAAGAAAGGATGGACATGGGGAAAATCGTGCTGGGCAGGGGCTAGGGGGCTCAGGAGGGGGCCCAGGGGAAGCAGCCGGGCCCTGCTGGTCCCTGGAGGGGGCGTCAGCGGCCCAGGGGGAGGACTAACCTGCTACCTATTGGCCTTCGCAGGGGGCCGTGTGAAGACGTGGAAACGGCGCTGGTTCATCCTGACCGACAACTGCCTCTACTACTTCGAGTTCACCACCGTGAGCAGGGGTCCCTGCCCGCCCCCTGCCCAGCCCCACTCCCAACTCCTACTTAGCAATTGACTAGCAGAGCTTGGACCCCTTTGAGATCATTCAGTCCACCTCGTGCCCATTTTACAGATAAGGAAAATTGAGGTGCAAAGAAGAGGAAAGGCTGGGCCAAGGGCCCAGGGCCAAGGCAGAGCCCAGGCTTAAAGCCAGGTCTTCTAATCCCAGCCAGAGCTCTGCTCATGCTGCCCTGCCCCACCCCCACAGCTGGAAAAGTCTTGGACGAAGGGCGCGCTCCTCTTTGGGTTTGGGGAACCCCACAGGTTCGCTCCCAGCGCTGGGCCCCAAGGCTCCATTGCTGACCCTGACCTTCCTTCCCTCTCCCTGCAGGACAAGGAGCCACGGGGAATCATACCCCTGGAGAACCTCTCTGTGCAGAAGGTGGACGACCCCAAGAAGCCAGTACGTCTCGGGTGGGGCCGGACCCGAGCTGCTGGGGAGCTTCCCACACAGGGCAGGGGACGGGCGGCTGGGCCAGGCCCTGCCGGCAGCAGGACTGCGCCCCCACGCATTCCGCATGGCTCGGGCTGCCCTCCTGTCCCCGTGGGGGCCGTGGACCACGGGGAGGGGTGGTGTCAACAAAAGGGCATGGCCGTCCTCAGTGGTCTCTCGAGCTTGCCTCTGACACTGGCTGGATGACCTTGAGTCGGTCACTTCTTTCTGAGCCTCAGTGTCCCCGCCAGTCACACAGGGATTTTAGGGAGAATGGTGGATTTAGGTCGAGCCTGACACAGAGTCAGCGCTCCCACCCCTCCGCCTGTCACAGGGAGCAAGCAAGTGGGGGGGGGGACGGGTCCTGCAGCAGGGACACTGGCTGCTTGTCTGCCCAGTGTCTGGTCCTCCCTGAACCTGCCTGCCCTCACCCACCCCTCCCCGCAGTTCTGCCTGGAGCTCTACAACCCCGGCTGCCGGGGCCAGAAGATAAAGGCCTGCAAGACGGACGGCGACGGCAAAGTGGTGGAGGGCAAGCACGAGTCCTACCGGATCTCGGCCTCCAGTGCCGAGGAGCGCGACCAGTGGATCGCGTCCATCCGGTAAGCACTGCCAGGCCATGGGGACGGCTCCGTGTCACCTTCCAGAAGCCCTGCTTCTCTTGGGTCTTGTCCCCTCGTCTGTAAAGGACTCTCCCTCGTGTTTCTGGCCTGCAACCCCCTGCCACCCGCATTCCAAGGGCACTTCCCGCGGGGACGCAGTGGAGGGAGAGGCCAGCGCGGGGTTGCTGGGAGGATCAAGCGAGGTGTTGCGCGTGAGGCTCTTGCGCAGACCCGGCGTGCAGTAGGCGCCCTTGTTGGCACCACTCCCCAAAGTGGCCTTGGGGAGGGCCTGGTGGAGGTGGAGGCCGGGGCTTTCCAGGCGGAAGGGCCAGTGTGGACAAGGACAAGAGGGCCAGTCGGCAGGTGGCCCACCTGGGGGACAGCATCCCAGAGTCCAGGTGAGGCCGGGCAGTGTGGGTGCTGAGGCTGCAGAGGATGGCAAGGCCGCGGTTGCCATGGCAACAGGCTCTGGTTTCTCCCGGGGGCCCTGGGGAGCCACAGACTGGGAAACAGTGGAGGGGTGGCCAGCTGAGGAAGGCCACAGTGTAGGGGCTGCTTCCAAAGTGCCCAGGCGGGCGATGGAGGGACAGGTGCTGTCATCCAGTCCAGGCGAGAGATGCTGATGTGGCCACTGACTGGAGAGAGAAGCAGGGAAAGGGCACCTGGGAAGGGGCAAGGTGACAAACCTGCTCAGGCTTGACTCTGCACCAGCCAGCGACATCGGTGAGGGCAAGACCTGTCAGCCAGAGGAAGACAGCGTGGCCGCTGGGCCGGGGGCCGTGTCCTGGACACTTGCAGGGTCTTCTCACCCTGGCCTTGCAGCAGCCCTGTGAGCCAGACCCATTCTCATCTCCATTTTACAGATGAGGAAACTGAGGCCCAGAGAGGGGAGGGACTTGCCCCGGGCTACACAGCCAGTGGGAACAGAGTGGGGCCGGCAAGGAGGCCTGCTGGCCCCACCCCACGCTCTTTTCCCTCCTCCAGAGGGTCTCCAATGGGAGCCAGGAGAGGGGTCCAGGGACACTTTGGGGTACAATTGTGAAGACTCTGCACTCCTGGTTCAAGGCCTCACCCTTCCCAGTGCCCACAGGCCGCTGGGCTAGGCTGGTGAGGCTGCTCTCACCGGGGCTCAGCCCTTGCTGGGGTCACCTGGCCCTTCCACTGTGGCAGAGCAGGCTGCCACCTCCCTGGGAGCCCCACGCCCCTGATTGCAGCCCTGGGCGACCAGATCCCCTTGACGGCCGGTCCAGCCTGGAAATCTTTTCTCCAACTCTCATTCCAGAGCCAGCATCACCCGCGTCCCCTTCTACGACCTGGTCTCTGCTCGGAAGAAGAAGATTGCCAGCAAGCAGTGAGCTTCCTGGGGGTGGTGCTGGGGCACCTGGAGACCCGCCTCCCGTCCCAGTGCACACTTCCCTGGCTGTAGACATCCTCCCTCTCCCCACGTTACCTCTTACCTGGGGCTGACTGTAGGGGGGAGGTGGAGCCCAGGAGGGAACCTCAGGGGGCTCAGAGCCTGGCAGGGAGGCGCCCTGGCGCTGGGAACCCAGCCGCAGCCAAGAGAGGCCCTCAGGCCCCGCCCTAAGTCCACCACAGTAAAGGGGGAGAGAAGCAAGTGAAGAGAAACCAGCCCCAGAACCCAGCGCACGTCTTCCCTCTGGACATCAGAGTCCCCATCTCTGAAACACCTCCTTGCACTCGGAAGTGCTGTCGGCCTCAGAGCAGTAGGGGCCGGGCTCCCTGGTTGCTCCTGCCCTCCTGCCCCTCCTCCTGCTCGGAGGGTATCTCTGCCAGCTCCTCCCCTGTCCTCAGGCCAGGCTTGGACGCACACACAGAGCTCAGCACACACACACAGCTCAGACCCACGGACGGGACCCCAAGGAGATACCAGGAGCACTGCACTGGGAGCCCAGACCCCTCAGTCTGTCCCAGCTCTGCCTCTGACTCACTGTGTGCCCTCTGCCAAGTCATGGTCCTTCTCTGGACCTTGCAAAACTGCAGTGTTGGGCTAGAAACATCCTGGCTCCCGCTGGCTCTGGAGCCAGCGTCCGGCTGGAAATGCGGCACTTGCTCACTGAGCCGGGGAGACGCTGGGCTGGAGGCTGCTGGGAAGAGGAGAGCAGAGGGGGCTCCACCCTCAGCGATGCCTATTTGGAGTAGAGGAGCAAGTGGGACCCCTCAGAAAATGACAGAGAGCGTCCCCGACAGATGGGACTCGAGCAGGATGGGTGCTAAAACCAATAAGCCAAGAAGAGAGAGCTTTGCGGGCTGTGGTTACCAGGAGGCAGCGTTTGAGCCAACAAGTGACACGGAGCTCATGCTTGGAGTCTCGGCCACGGCTCCCCTGGAGCAGGCCCAGCAGCGCCATGGTGGTGAGGGGCAGCCCGGTGGGTCCCGGCATCTCGAGGCTGTCTGCGGCAGCATCGGAGACAGTCTCCAGGGAGGCCCAGCCTCGGGGAAGATTCCACTAGTTGGAAGCACTTCAACCCCTCACACAGGCTCCAGGGAGCCCCCAGAGGGAAATTCCTTGGCGGAGGAACAGGAAACAGGGTTGCCTCTGCCCCGCTGCCGGCCCAAGTGGCAAGTGAGCTAGAGCAGGTGGATTCCCCAGGAGGAACCGCAGCTCGCCAGGCACCCCACACGCCTACCGTCCACAGGGTCAGGATGGACTAGCTGCCCTGTGAGGTGGTGAGATCCCTGTCTCTGGAGGTGTGCAAGTACCTGGTAGTGATATTGCACTGGGGAAGGTCTGGGCTGGGTGCCACAGAAGGAGGCCTGGACAGTTGAGGATTTCCACAGGTTCACGGCAGCCTGTGGGCTGAGCCCCAGCCTCATTTGGCCTGTGAAGGGGAAGCCGGGGGTCATGAAAGGAACACTGGGCTGGGGGTCAGGGGGTCAGAGGTCCTCTCCTGCCTCTGGCACACACCGGCTGTGTGACTTTAGTCTGCTCCCTTCCTCTCTCTGGTCCCCAGCTCCGCCCGCCACGGAGCAGGTGGGATCGGTGATTTTCTAGGCATGAGTGGCTGTTCTGGCAGTCGCTCAGACGAGAGAATAAAGTTCATGATCCCACCTGTGAGTGGGGCTCTGTCCTCTCCGTGACCAAGTCTGCCATCCTTGACCCCAGCCTGGCCTTCACCTTCGTCCCTTTCCCAGCTGAGGCAGGAGGGCCAGCCAGGGAGGCGTGGGCACTCTAAGGGCCCTGGAGCCTCATTCTCAGGACACGGGCCGCCGTGCTGGACACAAGTCCCAGGGGCTGGACTTCCCACAGGGCTCCTTCAGAGTGGGGGCAGGGTGGGCAGGTTCGGCCAAGCCCAGGGAAAGGCAAAAGAACTTTCCAGCAGGCACCGCTGTCTAAAGATAGAAAGACACACCTAGACCTGGGACGCAAGCATTACAAAAGCAATCCATGTAACCTAAAACATTTACACCAACTTAACATTTTGAATTAAAATAAATATATAAAGATAAAAAGAACTGCTGCCCTGGGAGATAGGTAGTAAGTTCCCTGTCTCTGGAGGAATGCGAGCACCACCTTCTTCAATGAGCACTTGGGGGATTACAGAGGAGCTTGAATTCTGTGATCCTCGTTTATTTGTACTTCCCACACATATTTATTGAGCACCCGCGTTGTGCCAGGCACTTGCAGAACAAGACAGAAGCCCTGCCTGCATGGGGCTCACATTCTAGGGGTCCTGACCTCTAGGACTCGAGGCAGCCTAGGTGCAGCCGAGGTGGTTCAGCACCAAGGTCACCCCCACACCCTCACCCGCCCCCGCCTGAGCCTCCACCACTGGAGTCACTCCTGGAAGACCACAAGGAGCTGAGCGGTCGACTCTCCACACCTTCCCCCTTCCGCCCAGCTTGCTGAGCTGCTGCGCCGAGCTCCCGGCAGGGCCAGGGACATCCCGACAAAGCCCTCGCCCTCGAGAGGAGCTCAAGTCTAGTGCGGGCGACAGCTGTGCACAGCCAGTCACAGCCCGTCTGGCACGTGCTGTAACAGAGTGGGGGGGGAGGGTGGGCAGTGCAGGGCTGGGCCGGGCAGAGGGGCAACCCAGGGAGGCTTCTCAGAGGAGGGTGCTTGAGTGCTGGCAGCCAGGCCAGGGAAAGGACACACACCGGACAGTGCCGTGAGCTCACATCACGTCTGCCCCCACTGGACCGTGCACTTGCTCAGTGCCTGGCACACAGTGGGTGCATAATAGTGGCTGGTTCAGTTGAAGTTAGCTGATAAAAGGCTCTCTGGGCCTGGGCGTCAGCAGGTTCACATGTCTGGAGGCCCAGGGAGCTGTAAGAACGTGGGTGCCACTGGGGGTGTAGCAGTGGCCGGAGAGGCGGGTGGGGCTGCATCACAAGTCTGGGAACTGAGTGTGACTCACGGCCCCCTTACCCCTCCAGGGACGGCCTCTGCCCCCGTCCTGCCACTCTGCCACTCCTCGCTCTGGGCAGCAGGGGGCTCCCATCACACGTGGATGAGAGATTCCCATGCTGCCGCCAGACCCAGACGGGGGCCCAGCCTGGCCCGACCGCCCCTTGCAGGGACGGGCCTCCGTCCAGAGTGGAGCCCTGGCCAGGGCATCTTGGGGGTGGGGCTCCTGGTCTGCTGGGGCCTGCGGGCTCGAGCAGCCCAAGAGAGCCATGGACACAGATAAGCACGAGCCCCCCTCCTCGTGCTGGGCAGTCATCCGGGCAGGGCCTGGACTGGGTCCCGGACACTCGGGCTGTCTCCAGCTCTGGCTGTGGGGCTCTGACCAGTTGTTTGCCCTCTCTGGACGCCATTTTCCTCCCCGAGGGGTTGAGCCTGGTGAGCTCCCTGGCTTGAACCCTTAGTGGGGACTTCCACGTGCCAGGAGGTCTCAGGCATGGGTGTAATGCAGCTCTCACCCTGGGAAGGATGGGGTGAGCAGGTGCCACAAAAGCCACTTGCCGTGAGAGGGCCTGGGGGCAGTGGTGACAGCTGCCCAAAGGGCCTGGGTTTGAGGCCCCACTCTACCCTGTTCTTAAGCAAGTTTCCCTGGGCCTCAGATTTCCCATGGAAAAGATGAGAATGATTAAACATATGCAGAATGCTTAGAACAGTGGTGGGCAGCTACTCGGGGTTAAGTGCCACTATTATTTTTGCCGTGAGGCAGACTGCGTACCTGCTTTCATGGAGAAACAAATGGGCTGGGGCCATCGGAGGAGGAAGCATTCACATGAGCAGTAAGTGGGGGAGATCTGGGAAGGCTTCTTGGAAGAGGCACTCATGAAATCATAAGCCAAGTGGAGGCCGGGAGTGGGCCACAGGAGGCAGGACAAGGCAACGTATTTCTGGGACTCCCCTGGGCCCCAACCACAACCCTCAGTGGGCCAAAGGGGCGTGAGGTTGGGGGAGTGACGCTGGCCGGGTGGCGGCTGAGCTGCGTGCGCAAGGCTGCAATCGCTGCATCTCTGAGCCCACAGCTCCGACCGACCGCAGGAAGTCCTGACTGGGGCATCGGTAGTGGCTGCAAACAGAGCCATCCCAGCCTGGGGGCGCAAGCTCGGCACAGACACCCTGGGTTGGGGTAGGGAAGGGCAAGGGGACTCTGAGAAGCCAAGGGGGACCCTGCCAGGCGCCTGGGAGGAGGAGCCCCTCCATCCTGAGGCCTGGCACCCAGAGCTGGCACTGGGGCCCTGCCCGGATGCCAGGGGGCAGGAGATGGGGGCGGGCAGCCCGAGTCGGGCAGCAGGTGTGAAAGACCTGGGGAAATTGATTTATTAGGGACGAGGAAAGGAGCTAAATATGTTTGCCGGCTCAGCGATGACTCAGGCGTTCGTTCCCCAGGGGTCTGAAAGTGTGAGCATCAAAGAATCAAAGACAGGCCTCTCCTGGCCAGGGCGCTGCCGGCCTCCAGCCCCTCCTTGCCTGTGATGAGAGGACCACCCCCGAGTGTCCTGAGAGCCTGGCCTCTGAGGGGCGCCAGAGGCCCCGCCACTCCCGCCTGCCTGCCCACAACCCCCCAGGCTTCGCCCAGAATGGCTGAGCCTCGGAGTGAGGCACGGCTGGGTAGAAATCATGGCCTTGCCCCAAACTGCTGTGTGATCTTGGACAAGTGGCTGACCGTCTCTGAACCCACATTCACTCAGGGGCCTCGTCCCCACCAAGCCAGGCCCCACCTCCCCCTCTCTGCCAGGCAGCGTGGCTCCATCCCATTCGGCTTCTAGACAGCAGAGCACAGCCTCCTCTGCCTACAGACTGCGGGGGGAAGCCGGAGTCCACGGGGCCTCGTTGGGGAGAACATGCTCTTCCAGCACCGCTTCCAGGTGCCGGGCTTCCGGAGAAACTGATGAATCAGAGTCCGTAGGCCAGAGGCGGGCAGAGGACGGCGAGATGACCTCACCGTGGGGAAAGCACTGGGGGGGCTACAGCATACACGAGGGGAGGGGGCTTGAGGGGTTCAGGGAGCAGAAGAGAGGAGGGGCGTGGGGCAAACATCTGCCCAGCAGGGGGGCGGGCATTCCTGATGGGAGGGATGGCTCAGGGGAATGCACGGCCCCCACACCGCAGTCTGGCACATTTGGGGAGCGCTGAACTCTTTGGTGGGCCTGGAGGGGGCCTGCCTGGAACAGCAGGACTCGGAAAGGAACAGAAGCAGGACCAGACTGGCCAGCCGGAGGCAGCCTCCACCAGGACGGCAACGCAGCTGGGGTAGAGCTCAAGCGCAAAAGAGTTGCGGAAGAGAATTACGTGGCTGGAGATGTCCCGGGCTGGATTGAGGCTGAGGGGACAGCCTTGGGGCTGGGGGAGGGGAGGGAGGGGCGTGGGGCTGGGCAGGAGCAGAGTACCTAGGAGGGGAGGAAGAGGAAAGAGGCTTGCTGGGCCAGGGCTAGGGCTTGTGAAGGTGAGGGCAGCCCCCAACAGCCCAGCGAAGGCAGGTGGGAGGGAAGGTGTGGGGGAGAGAGGAGGGGAGCAGGTCGCACTGAGTGACCCCGGGTGGAGGCCTTCACCTCCAAGTCAGACAAGGGCCCAGGGCTGGGCAGAAGGTCCTCCCTGCTGCCCCCTTCTGCACCCTCTCACCTGGGCCTCCCCTCCTCCCCCTTTCCCACATGCCCCTCCCTCCCTCTCCCTATCGCCCCCTCCCTGCCCCTTGGTGCATTGGCAAGCACCTGAGGTCTGGTGTCTGCTGCAGCCCTGGGTTCTGATCCAGGCTGTGTGGCTCCAGGCCAGACCCTGCTGTCTCTGGACCTCGTTTCTCAATGCGAAGCCGCGGGTGGGGACTCCTGCATAGAGGCCAGGGCTCCCACCAGCGGTCACGGTCCCAGAGTCTCCAGGACGACAGAGGCGTGGGCTGAAAGGCAGGAGGCTACTGGAACCTTGGACCTGTTCTCGAGGAAGAAGTGTAAACTTCCAGGGGTCACAGAAGTCCCTGCCCCTCCCAACCCCACCCGGCTGCTCCTGGGCCTGCAGTGCTGGGCTGGGTCTATGATGGGAGTGGTTGGGAAACCCAGGTGCCTTTGTCCCCAAATGAGACACTTAACTTTGGAGGTCTCTTTTTATTTTGTCCTGAGATTCTTAGCTGCGGATAATCCTCAGAACTAGCCCACAAAGACCTGGTGCTCCAGATTTGACCCGGACACCCCTGCCTGGGCCCCACTGCGCCCAGGATCAATATGTCGTGGCCAAAGCCACCCATCGCGGAGCACTGAGGATGCCAGGGCGTCTGCCAACGCTGCTTCCAACCTCCCGACAGTCTCCACGGGGGGTATGACTGACACCACTTCACAGATAAGGACCCCGAGGCTCCCTGCAACCCGGCCAAGAAGGGCCCAAGCCAGCATGAAGCCAACGCCATCTGACCTGAAACCTGTAGAGATTTAGGGTGGCCACAAACTCACTGTCCCCAGTAGGACCTTCCTAAGAGTGCTGGAATGCTAGGTACGAGGGGGTGCTGGGACGAGAGGGGCAAACCAGGACTGCCCCAGATACCCACAGACATAGGGTCACTGTGGAGATTGGGCAGATCCCCAAGAGCCCAGCAAGAAAGTAGGGTCATCCCTGGTGGCCCTGTGGACTGGAAGGCATGTGACCTGTGGCTGCTTCACCCTGGAGAAGCGAGGGGCATCTGCGGCATCCTGCCCTG